ATATCCACACACACATTGACACCCTCCAACACACTTCAACCCCAACCATACCCAAAACACACCCACACCCTTCCACACAATCCTACCCCAACCACATACCCTCAATCCATACCCCTCCACACCCCACATACACCCCCCACACCCTCACACCTACTTCCCAACCACAGAGCGCCCACATACAAGTCCCCCTAGCCCCCCAATATGCAAAAGTGTATTTTGAGCTATTATGCAATCACCTGTGGATACACTATGCAAACGCACATAAATTGAGACAAAAATAAATTTTTAAATAAAATTAAAATGAGTTATAATAGATGTTTGATTTTTTTAGTACATGATTTGTTTTTTTTTCCAGTTTCAAGATGACAACCCCCCTCTCAAAGGGGGTACTTCCAGGACAAAGGGAAGGATTTCTGGTGGAAAGGTCACGGGCAGGATTTCCAGGCCCAAGATGGTGACTAGGTGGTGGGGTAACTGTTAGGGGTGGGGCAATCCATGCAGCCCTCGACACCTCACCAAAACTCGTTAAGTAGCCCTCCAGCCAAAATAATTGCCCACCCTGTTCTAACCCTCTTCCTGTCAACCACTTTGTAGACTCTATAACCATTGTAACTGCATATTAATTGAATACGTGTACAAATATCACCTAACACAGGCTATAAGGGCACTTACACACATACATGCAGTCTGCTCTGACGTGCTGCAAATCCATTAATTGAGTCTGCAGAACATGCGAGTCTGCAGCAGAGCACGTGATTAATTGAGTCTGCATGCCCATTTGTCTGTACGCGAATTGACATGCCTGGCGCTACATCGCATGCATTTGTATAAATGGCGAAATGTGCATCAGTGCTGAGAAAATGGGGGCTATGCACTTTTGAACTAAAACATGTTTGATATGTTTTAGTTCAAAAGTGCACCACTGCCATTATCTCAGTGTTGATGCACATATTGCTGTTTATACAAATGTACCCAATGCAGCACCCAGCACTTTTAGAAGTGCCTGGTGCTACATCACATGTATGCGTACAAATGCCCTAAAGGCCTTTTCTTCCCATTTATTAGATAAAACCAAAAATATTAGGCATATGATCCAAAAAAATAATTTGATGATAGCTGACACGTACAACCTTAAATTTAGAAAATGGCTTTTTATTAATTAAACTGTTACAGGTTACCTTTAGAACTTTTTAAATCTGTGAAATGTTATGCCGTTGTAAAGTTAAAATAGTTTCAAAGCAGTCACAGGTTAATTCTGTCTCAGGCCTGGATAACTGTGGCTTGCCACTAGAAGGTCTGGTAAGCAGGGGTGTTGATAGGTGCCAGGACTCTATTCCTCCTCTGGGGTAGAAGAAGGGAGAGGATGGCATGTAGCTGGAAGGAAGAAAAACCACCATGGGGTCTATGACTTCCCTCGCTACACAGCCAGCAGGAGCCATCTGGAGCTATGGGTGGGAAGGGAAAAATGTTGAAAAAAAACTGTGTAAAGTGAATGGGCAGGGGGGAGAAGTAAAGAGAAGTAAAAGGAAAGAAGTGAAAATAATAATACTGTAATATTAATAATAATAATATCAACATCTTGCATGTGTTCCACTGAACTGGGCTTGGGTTGGGGAGGGGAGGGGTTTGGGTTAGTACTTACACCAAAGGAGAGCTGAGACCCACGGGGATCACTGCATACCACACTGGGGCAGAGCTGAGACCCCATGAGTTCACTGCATGCATTCCACGTCAGGGCAGAGCTAAAATCCAGTTGGAAATGGTTTCTATTCTTTGGCTTATACTCTTCATGGAGGTAAGTAGTAGGATTGCTGTTGCTGTTGGCATGTGGTTATCAGAGCAGACAGCAAACTGGTGAGTTGCATCTGAGTGCTTAGAGTAGTCAGGATATCTTGGGGTCTTATCCCCGGAGCGCAGCAGGGGGGTGTTGGCTCAGGGCCAGCACCACCCCTCCGGGAAGTAGTTTAGAAGGGTTTAAAGCTTGTTCATGGAGGAAAGTGCAAGGGAAGGCTGGTAATGGTGCACCTTGGGATGCTGCAGGAATGAAAATAGAGTGTTTTATTTTCCCAGAGCAAATTAACAACATCTTGGAATGACCTGGGTAAAACTGACTGAAGATAAATCTCACCTAGAGTGGCATACCTTTAGAAAGCTTAGAGGGTACTTAGCACAGGTTAACATCCTTTAATGAGTGAATGCTCACATTTTAATTGCCTTTATGATGGTTTAAAGATAACCTGTAATACCACCCTAAGAAATGTAGCCATTTTCAGCATGCATGCTTCTTATCCTTCAACTCTCATCCTTCTTATTTCAGGGAGGTTTAATACACTGTTAATCAAGTTAACACAATTTAAAGTTTTAACAAAACTTAAAATAGCCACTGACTTTTATATAAAAGAGATGACCCTTCTAAAAGCTGTATTTTTTTAGAATCTTTCTTTTGAAAGACATGTTTGAATAGAAAAATCTCTAGACCATCTTTCCCTTGTCTTAGACAAGTCATAAGGGTCAGATGACAGCTAGATGCTCATTGCGAAGGCCAGCAGAGGTCAAGCAATTCATGGAAGTTTCACTCTTTTCTGCAATAGTTGGGTCTGATCCGTTGGCAACATGTAGGGGGAGCACCCCCTGCAAAAAGCACTGCCAATGCCTCACCACCCACCTCCCCCACTGCCAACACCGCTGGCAGTGTCTGCAGGCAGTCCCCAATCACCACTGGCCACTGCCGTCACTGCCAGCAGTGTCTGCGGGTGGCTGCCGCCACACCCCTGCCACCAACACCACCGCCATTGCCTGTGGGCAGTCGCCATGTCCCCTAGCCTCCAGGTTTGATCCAATGTTCACCGATTGATTGGAAAATTTAATTTACTTCAGTGGATTCTAGATTCTGTTCTCGTATACAAAACAAGAATTATTCATAGTTTCTAGGGTCGGAAGGGACCTGTGTAGATCATCTAG